ATCTATCATAACATTAATAAAAAAAAAAATAAACATAAGGTTGCTGTAACATCTAAATGAGTCAATACTGACGGAGCCCTTACAACAGTGCCTGGCACGGACTGCACTTAACAAACGTTAGCTATCACGAGAGGCGAGTTTAATCACATATCTATTTATAGTGATTACTGCTGGATTCGGGCTCACTGGACCATTTTGCTCTGTTTTCTATTCACCACACATTTTCTTAGTTATTTTTGTAACTTTTTCTGCCTTGTAGTGGTTTGATCAAGTTTTCCTTAATCCCATTTTCTGGCTTGGAACACACTACATTGTTTCTACACATTGCTAGTTACCCTTAAAACTTTAAAATGGACCTTAATTTAAGGTGTAAAGTGGGTCAGTGCTTCCCGGACATGACTAAGGGCCTCAGAAGCCTCCGTATTCTGACTCCCTCGCCCAGGCACCATGTTATCATGTAATACTTTACACTTCCACCGGGTTTCAACCACCCTCCATTAAGTCTGTTTTTCTTTTAGTCTATGTTTATTTAGATTTCCAATGTGTTTACCAATTTCTTTGCTCACAACTGCCTTTTGTATCCCACTCCTTTCTTCTGGGTTCTAGTTCATTCTTACTACAGAACATCCTTTAGCAAGTACCGTTTGCCTATCAAAATTTAACAGTGAAGTCTGGGTCTCTCAATCTAATGTCTTGCATGAGGAACAAGTAGGTTTAAACACAACTATCCCCAAATTCATCACTACTATATTCTTTTACTTTGCAAGAAAAACAAAAAACCTGCCCTGAATAAGGTATGACATTTATTCATCTATTTTCCACTTCTGGACAGAAATCAGCAATGATTGAAACTGTATGATCTTGAAATAGATAGATCTAGGCAAAATGTGTCTCTCTACAGCAGACAAAACGTGTCTGTATTTCTGTTAAACCGTGACAAGGTGTGTAAGATTTCAGCCTTAAGTTATGTTACCACAGGTCCTATCTCAGCTCTTCCTCCTCCTTCAAGCTTTTAACTTTAGATAACTCAACACCATGTATCAAAAATATGAAAGAAATTGTTGTACGTAGATGTCATGGTTTCAGAAATTAATGCTGACAAATAAGAAGGTTTTCAGCAGATATTCTTCAGAATTCAAACAGTTAATATTAAACAGCTCCATTCGACAGTAAACTCGAGGTTATCTAGAAGTGCATTCTGCAGTTCACACAGGCTGTCAGGCATGGAAAAGTCAAGGTGGCTCAAAATCCAGTGTTGCACAAAAGAAATTATAAAATTCTTTTAAGATTGTGCTGCAGTTTTTATGTGATCCAAATGGAAGTAAACAATGCCACGTGGAAGTCGGGGGTTTCAATTATGCACTTCCATAGTTCCCAAACTGCAATCTGGGGCCCTGCCTGCTGGTCCCGAGCCCATCTGGGCCCCCATTCAAGTAACGACATTCATAAGAGGCTGTCAACCTTGTCATCTTTTCATCTAGCACCCAAAGCAGCTGGACCCTTCTCTAGCCAGCACTAGAATAATGACAGCTCTAGAATCTTGCCAGAGAATGTATCCAGTCCAGGTATGAAATACCATACAGGGTTCTCGAGCCATTCCCCTCAGAGATCCTAAATGCAGTCAAGTCAGAACACCCAAAGGACTCCTGGCCTGTGTTTGCTTATAACCCTATAGAATTCTTTCCTCGGTGCCCTTCAGTCTGCGACTGCCAGCTTTGACGGTGAACTGAAGTAGCGGCCATATGAGAGCTTCTGTACTTGCTGTGTATTCCCACTGAAGAGCTCTAAGATATTTTTTAATGACCATTATTTAAAAACCCACAGAACAAATTCCCTTTGGAATTTAATATCCTAGTGTCCTCTATTTTGAAAACAATCTGCCCATATATTTTATTAAGAGTTAGTGTTCCAACAATTCCATTTCTGGGAATCTAACCTAAGGAATTCTACTTATAACTGGAAAAAAAGTGGAAGTAACTTAAATGTCCAAGAATAGGAGACTCTGTACAAATGTGGCACACGATTCAGATGGGTTCATGATGCAGTCATTAGAGTACTGATAACGTACTGTGCAAGTGTTTTGTGAGAAACTGAGGAAAGCGGTGTGTGCACATGTGTATCTAGTGTGGAGTTGGTTCTAAGTCATATGAAATTCTGACCTGCCCAGCTTGTCTGACATAGCTGTGAAGTTAGTGGGCACAAAGGCATCTATTTGAGAATTTTGATACTTTGTGTTTTGGACCAAAGGTGTCAAAAGATATGTGCACAGCTTCCTGGGGATGGGGGACACTGAGGACGAGGCGGGAATATGGTGATTAATATGACCCCCTTGGACTGATTTTCAAGCTCCCTAGAGTTTTCGGGCAAAAATGAAATCCCTTTATTACATGCTTTCAAAGGGCCACATACCTCTGCTTGTTGCACTTATCACAACTGTGATTTGCGTAATTATTTGATGAATGTTCATCTCCTTTCTGGTCTACAAGTTCCACCAGGGCAAGGTTTTCTCTTTGTTTTGCGCACTATGTGACATATAGTCATGATGGCTGAGGGAAGACAGGGGAGGGAGAGAGGAAAGAGAAGGTAACGGAGAAAGGGAGAGGAAAAAGGGCGAAAGACGAAGATGGAGAAGAAGCAAATTTTTTATGAGGGACGCTGTGGGTCGAGGTGACAGTACTGCCAAGCTGGGAGAGCACTTGCATTGTTTCCACCTGGAATACAGCAAGGCCAAGGATCAGTGAGACCAACAGGAAGGGGAGGATGTCTGGCACCCAGCAGGTTCGCACCTCGGGGATGCATCAGGAGCTGGCATCCCAGGCAAGGCTGGATTCTCCAGCAGGACCAGCAGCGGTACACGTGACAGAGCACTGGAAAGGGTGGCAGATACCCAGCAGGAGTCTGTCAAGAGAGCAGCAACGTGCTCAGGCACGGACTTGTGCCTGTATTCTCAACAGTCTGAAGCCAGGGATACCTGGACATCTTGGAAGGGGATGGGGAACGCCCCGAAAAGGCCTAAGTCTAAGTGGGGACATGGAGCCAGTAACAAGGCAGTGTCAGTGCTGGTGTGACCTGTTCATAGGCCAGATGGTTATCGCTGAGGATGTCTGAAACACCCTGACTAAAACTAAAGAAAGGTTACCAAAACGGTAATGAAGTCAAGGGTTGTGAGGACTTTCCCCCTCTAATGATCATAATTTTTATAATTAAAAAAATAATAGGAAAAATGTGTATCATTTGAAGAATTGCTGTTTTCTTTTATCAGATGCTGCCAATTTTGTAATCCAGTGTTTCTGCCTTTTCCCTGATTCTAAGAAAACTCAGAGGCAGATGTCGTATTCAACCACAGTAACTTCATTAGTGTAGTGGTCTTGATAGTTGCTTTCTTCTCATTCTACAGGGCCAAGGGCCGCAAGGAAGGAAAATCCTCCACAAAGTCTTCTCTCCCTATTTCATCTACCCTGTTGACATAAATCTTTACAGTCTGAGTTAGTTTTTAAACGCTATCACCCTCCCTATATTACTCACATTGTCTTACGTGTGCGAATGACTTTTTCAACTAGACCAGTGATCCCAATGAGGGGTATAAGAAGAGAGAAGGGATCAGAGGATGAAAGGATGGCCTGACTGTCAGAGCCACCTGGATGTCCTTTTCTGAATTACAGGTAGCAGCTCACCTGCACCCTCCCACACCGTGAGTATCACTGCCATTGTGAGGTGACGTACTCACGGAGCTGATATACCCTGGAGGGGAGTGAGGAGGTCAAAAGTATGAGCCAGTGATGAAGATCATATTTTCACTAAAAGATCAATTTTGGAATCAGAAGCTTATCAGTTTCAATCCCAGATCTAATACTTAGCCTAAAGTTCCTTATTCTCAAATAGATATAAAAACATCTTTCTTTCAGTGCATGAATATTAAACGTATGCTAAGTGCTAATAAACAGAGCTCAGCAAATACCCTTTAGGTCTTAGTTTCCAAGTAGAGTTGGGAGGAGTTTCTGAATCTTGGCACCACTGACATTTGGACTCGATAATTCTTTACTGTGGATGTTCCAGGCTAAGCTGTACGGCCCCCTCCCCTGCCATTCACATACTGAAGTCCTAGCCCCAGTACCTCAGAATGTGATTGCATTTGGAGAGAGGGTCTTTAAAGTGGTAATTAAGGTAAAATGAGGTCATGGTGTCCCTATAAGAGGAGATTAGGGGGCCGCCCCGTGGCCAAGTGGTTAAGTTCTCGGGCAGCCCGGGGTTTTGCTGCTTCTGATCCTGGGTGCAGAATGGCACCACTCATCAGGCCATGCTGGGGCAGCGCCCTACAACTAGAATATACAACTATGTATCGGGGGGCTTTGGGGAGAAGAAGAAGGAAGAGGGAAAAAAGGAAGATTGGCAACAGATGTTAGCTCAGGCGCCAATCTTTAAAACAAAAAAAGGTGCGGGCAGGGGGGGATTAGGACCCAGACATGTGTGACCAACGAGGAAAGATCATGTGAGGACACAGGGAGAAGGTGGCCGTCTGCAAGCCAAGGAGAGCGATTTCAGAAGAAATCAACCCTACTGACAACTTGATCTTGGGCTGCAAGCCTCCAGAACACTGGGAAAAAGACAAATTTCTCTGATTTAAGCCCCGCTGTCCGTGGTACTCTGCTATGGCGGGCCGAGCACACACTCCATGGGGCTCGGCCTGTGCACTGTAGGATGTTTAGCAGCATCCCAGGCCTCTACCCACTCATACCAGTAGCAACCCTCCCACCCTACAGCTGTGACAGCCAAAGTTATCTCCACACATTGCCAAATGTCCCAGGGTGGCAAAAATCCCCCCCTCCCCACCCCCCGGGAACACTGGTTCCGATGGTCTCTGGTCACCTGTATATTCCCAGGGCTCAGCACAGTCACTGCGGCCTACCTAAGTAGATAACCAAATACTTACTGAACGAATTCTCTTGCCTGGTTCCCTATCTCAGGTCTCACCACTGCCAATCAAACTCCTTTTAATGCAATTAAAGTAGTAATTACTTCGTTTAATTTATAGCAGATGTGTAATTTTTAATGAAAACAAGCAGTTTTCATTTTAGCATAATTTCTGGCAACTCTGTGACATAAATATCACATCAATGTTAAACCCTATTTTGTTTGATATTGCTCACTGACCTCATATCACATCCTTTGATAGATTCAGTGAGTGGCGCTGCTTTTAGTTTCCTTAATGCATCCCTCATGATTTTAAGCAGATGAAATGACTATGACAAATTCTTATATAACATTTGAAGCTCAAGGGACTCATAAAGAAAATAAATGGCCATTAAGTGTGAAACACTTAACTCTAAGTCATAACAAAACTCTACACGTTATCCAGAAACCCAAAAACATATCAAAAAGCCAAAGTCAATGGAGATATTCTTTGGAAGGGGGAAGTCACAAAAGTCCCTGGTACATTCATAAATTTGTTGTCGTAACATTGTCACTTTGCTGTCACGTTATTTGAAAGTTGATGTGTTTGGGTTGGGCGGTGGCAGGGGCTGGGAGTAGGGGCGACTCGGACATGCCAGAGAGAGGCACGAGGAACTCTGGGGGAAGCGGGAACTGGTGGACATTTGGCACAGGGATAATTTCCGACCAACCCCTCGCAATGATTTGTACTCAACTATTCACAGGGTACTGTCTAAGCACATTATTTTAAGTTGATAGAGAGTTTATTCATTTATAAAATCCATTTACTGCATTCTTTTTTAATAGCTGGGATTCAAAGTATTAAAAATTTGATTTACCCAAGTGAAAAGAAAGACTAACTAATCATTGTTAAGTGCCATTCCCGAAGAATATGCCCAATGTTTCAAAGTTGTTGTTTGTGGCTTTAAATTACAATAGTAACATCCTACTCCAAGAATGCGCGAGACACAGGTCTAACGAGCGACCACATTAAACTTGGGCAATAACCACCAGGTGACTGCGGTCACAGGCAGCTATGCTGGCATCCAGGATCAGGTGCTTACACACGCCAAGGATGTGAGTAGGACATCCTGCCATTCCAAAAACATGGAGGCTCTTAACTCCTCAACTGCTCCTTGTGGTGGAAATGTTGAAGAATCCTTTTCTGAAGGTGGTTTCTCCATGGAAGAGAAGGAAGATGGTTTAAATTCTGAAATTTAGAAACAAAAACACTTTGCCAAAAAGTCTATGAACTCTGCAAAGCTGGTGAACGTGCAGATGTCCATAATTTGAGAGAGAGATGTTTCAGAGGCAGGAGGTGAGGATGTTTTGTAAATTTTTTTTCCCCCGGAAAGGCAGAAAAGAATGAAAATCAGTTAACCACAATATTTAGAATTCAGCATCTTCACTTGGGCATTTGTGAGTATGAATATGAGATGGATATGAAATCTATTTGGCAACACAAAGTACGACATTCTGATCACTATGTTGGGAAAGTTGGCAGAAGCCCACGCTAATTCCTATTTCGCTTATTTCTTGGCTCCATCTCAGCACTTTCAGCTGATCTTGTGCGACGATTCCATCTTGGACTGATTTCTGTGTCCTGAAGATCATTTCTGAAACAGTAAAAAGGAAGTGGCATCTTAGAAAATAATGATCGCTATTACGCTACAGCAGTTTCTAGTTTAAGGTGCTGTCACAGGCATCGTTTCGGTTAACCCTCCAAAGAGCCCCTTCTGCTCCACTGACAAATCTATTATAACACTTATCCTTGCTATTATTCTTCTTCCCACCTTGTAACTGAGGAAACAGCGACTCAGCGGAGACTACAGACCATAAATGACAGAGCCAGGAGTTGAACCCCTTTCTTCTGAATCAAATTCTAGCAGGTTTACACTTCTGCTTAACATGTAGAAAGCTGCAAAAAAATTTGCTCCCATCCTAACAACAAGACCAAGTCAGACAGTCTAACAAAATCATAATTTGTCTTGATCCTGTCAGAGAGCTGAGAAAAAATTTGAAAGAAAGATAAGCCCCTCCAAAGAGACAGGAGCCACACGAATTCTCCCACTTCTGGAAGAGCACTGGAGAAAGAGGTGGCTGTCATGCAACCAGATAAGATGAAATCTACTATCATTTTAATAAAATCTAAAACAAGGGCTAGTACTGAAGCAGCCTGGGACAAAGTGAGTCCACACACACGCAAGCTCTTCTCCAGGAGCCTCCATCAGGTGCTCACGAGAAAAACCAGGAGCAGGGCAGAAGCCTGGAGAGAGCCCACTTTCGTGGCACAGTATAAGGCTGGTGATGGGAGGCAACAGGGGTCAGGCAGAAAGCCCTGCCTCTTCCCTCTCCTAAGAGGCAGAAGCTTTAAGTTGCTGAGGGTAGAGCAGGAAACTCACTCACCCATGGGGCTTAGGCAAAGATTCACTACCTCTGGGGAGAAGCAGAGGTACATCAGTCTGCCTGAGGAGGCAGGACAGGAAATCGTCTGCAAGAACACAGGCAGAGTCACTGTTGCCGGAGAAAGGACAGAAACAAAGACGTCTCCCTCTGGAGGAGGGGCAGAAAATCATCTCGGGCTGCTGATCTCACACAATGCCAAGCTGAGGGTGGGTCAAGGCAGTCTGACTACCAGGAGAGGAGGGGGAGGAGAGAAAGCTGAGAAAGCCTCGTCCTGGAGACACGGGCACACAGGGCCTGCCTAAGAAGGAAGCTGCACCAAGGAAACAGAGAACCCCCAGCTGGGCCCCACCCTGAGCCCGGCATCAAGGAATACGCAGTAGCAGTAACTGGCTGAGGGAGAGGTACCGATATGGAGAAGAGATGGCCCTCTGCAGGGCAGGCTTGCAAAGACGGCTGAAAGATAAACGGGAGCAAAATCAGTGACAAAAACTTTCCTGCAGTCCAGCCCCGACACTAAGCACCAGGTAAAAGCAGCCCACTGCTACAAGAACATGACGCCTCTGATGCACTGAAGGTCTTGTCAGTGACAAGAAAACCCCACCTGAGGTCACTCCCCCACGCCCATTTCCAGGCATAAGTACTATGACGTCAGTCTCTACGGTCCTTCGCAGTATGTCTAGCATTCAAGCAAAATGTATGATACACAAAGAAGAAAAAACAAAAAGAAATCCATCATCAAGAGATAAAGTAACCAAGAGATACAGACAGAATGACCCACATGTTGGAACCCTAGGACCAGGACCTTAAATAACTATGATTAATACGGTAAAGGCCCTAGGAAAGATGGACAGCATGCATGACAGATGCTCCACGGGTGGCTCTGAAAGACAAAGGTCATTACTGTCCTTCCCTCTCCACACCTCCCAGAATCTGAGGTACTCTCCCCAGGTGTCAGCATTGTTGCTCTTTCTCCATCTCCACAAAATCAGCGTATTCCTTTCCATTAGTTTTAAAGTTACCTTTTTTTAATCATCCCCTGCTCAAATTCAGCCCTTTTACCCAGAAGGGTCAGGTGCAAGAGGGATAAGAGCATTTTTATAAAACTTTCAGAGACTCAGTATGTTTCCCACTTTGACCCATGCAGGCCATGGTAAGGCTGGATACAAGTCCAAAATCCCAAGGGGGCCTCTAGGGGGAGGCTGCCTCCCTTTGCCAGAGGCTCCAAGCAGGAAAATCATTAGTCATAAAGACTAGCTCAGAGGGGTCATTAGGCTTGTGGGAACTCAAGGGTAATAGCATTTCTCTCTGTGTGGCTCTTTTCTATGAGAGAATTTGTTCTGGAACTCAGTGGATGGGGATTATTAAGTACATAGGACAATTCAGATGTAGAAGGAACAATAATAGTAACTGAATCAGCCCAAAGGGCCTCAGCTACAGGTCACATTAGCTTCCCTTCTCCACTGTGAACCTTGCCCAAACCCCCTGAAAATCAGTTCAGGTGCCTCCTTTCCCCACAGGACAGGGTAGGATGGTGAATCTGGTACCTATATCCAACAGAGCCATAAAAGTCTGAGTCCTCCCCTTCCCGAAGTTCAGCAGCACATCCCGATGGTGCAGATGGCCTTTCCTCTCCCTTAGTGACAGGGAGACCTCGGGCCCCACTCCTAAGCAGCAAACCCAGAATAGCCAAAACAATTCTGAAAAAGAAAAATTTACACTGACAACACCAAATGCTGGTGAGGAGTGGAGCATGCGGAACTCTCATTCATTGCTGGTAGGAATACAAAATGGCACAGCCACTTTGGAAGAAAGTTTGGCAGTTTCTTACAAAACTAAACACATTCTTACCAAACAATCCAGCAACTGCACTCCTTGGTATTTACCCAAATGAACTGAAAACTTATGTCCACACAAAACCTTGCACTTTATTCCTAATTATAATAACATACATATCACTTTACTTGTAACTGTCAAAACGTGGCAGTAACCAAGATGCCCTTCAATAGGTGAGTGCATAAATGAACTATAGTAATCCATATAATGAAGTATTATTCAGCACTAAAAAGACATGAGCTATCAAGCCGCAAAAAGACCAGGGGCAAGCTTAAATAAATATTATTAAGTGAAAGAAGCCAATCTGAAAAGGCTACATACTGTCTGATTCCAACTATATGATGTTCTGGAAAAGGAAAACTACGAAGACAGTAAAAGATCAGTGGTTGCCAGGGGCTTGGGGAGAAGCAGGGATGAAGAGGCGTTTTAGGGTAGGGAAAGTATTCTTTATACTATAATGGTGGATACATGTCATTATACATTGTCAAAATCCATAGAACATTCAACAAAGAATGAAGCCTATGTAAACTGAGAAAAGAAAATTCGAGGCCTCACACTAGCTGGTTTCAAGACTTCTTGTAAAGCTGCAGTAATGAAGACTGTGTCGTTGGTGAAAAGACAGGCGTACAGATCAATGGAACAGAACAGTGATTCCAGAAACAGACCCACACATATATAGTCACTTGATTTTCGATAAAGATACCAAAATTATTAAACGGAGAAGGACAGTTTCTTCAATAAATAGTGCTGGGACAACTGGAGACCCATATATAAAAAAGAAAAACTGAACCTCAACTCATATCTTATACCATTTACAAAAAATTAACTTGAAATAGGTCATAGACCTAAATGTAAAACCTAAAACTTCTAGAACATAAGAGAAAAACCTTTGTGACCTTGGGCTAGGTAAAGATTTCCTAGGTAGAACACAAAAAAGCACAAAATCTAAAAGGAAAAACTGATCAATTATTTCACCAAAATTTAAAACTGTCTTTGAAAGACACTATCAAGAAAACGAAAAAGCAAGCCACAGAGTAGAAGAAAATATTTGCAAAACGCATATCTGATGAAGAATTCTCAAATCTCAATAATAAAAAAAAAAACCCATTTACAAAATGGGCAGAAGATGTGAGGCGGGCATTTCATCAGAAGACAGAGGGCTGGCAAATAGGCACATGAAAAGAAGTTCACATCATTAATCCTCAGGGAAACACAAATTAAAACAGCAGTGAAATACTACTATGCCTCTATTAGAATGGCTTTTAAAAAAGACAGTAACCGAGTGCTGGCCAGGATATGGAGCAATTAGGACTCTCAACATTGCTGGTGGGAGACAACAGTTTGGCAGTTCCATAAAGGTCGAACACAGATTTACCATACAATCCAGCAATGCCACTCCTAGGTATTCACCCAAGAGAAAGGAAAACTATGTGCACGTAAAATACTGTACTCAAATGCTCATAGCAGTTTTATTCATAATTCTCAAAACCTGGAAACAGCCCAAATGCCCATCAACTGTTGAATGGAGAAACAGACTGTAGCACATTCACACACTGAAATACCAGTCAGCAAAACAAAGGAACAGACTACTGATCCATGTAAGAACATGGATGACGCACAGAAGCATTGTGCTAACTGAAAGAAGTTAGACACAAAAGGCTACGTTATTGTATGATTACATTTATATAACATTCTGGAAAAGGAAGAAACTTCAGGGACAGAAAACAAATCAGCGATTGCCAGAAACTGGTAGTGGGAGGAGGAGATTATTTACAAAAGGGCACCAGGTGACTCTTTCGTGTGACGTAAATATTCTAGATTTTAATTGTAATAGTGGCTACATTACTATATATGTTTATCAAAACTCACAGAACTGAACACCTAAAACAGGTGATTTTTACCATCAAACCTCAATAAACGTGATAGAAAAACAAACATCTATACCATAGTATTAGGATATACCTATTACATTTGCATTACTTAATTTTTCCCTCTGTAAATTTTATATACTTGCCTTTACGAGATAATGAAAATTGAGAACTTTCTTTGGCAATCTATTATAATATGATAGTCATAGATAGGCCTTTGGTAGTGGTTCTATCAAAGTTCACAAAGGAAGCTTATTTTTCTCATAAAAGCAGGCTGCGATACAAGTTACATTAAGTTTGAGGGATGTTTTACTGGAAAAACACAAACACAGCAATAAAATACAGCAAAGGAGTCCGAGTGTGTTCTGGTCACCCCACAAAGTCAGGAGGGACTCCCACTCAAAATTTGGTTTGGATGTTGAGACTGATGCCAGCACATACACGCACGGCAAGGGGGTATGAAAAGGTTTATTACTCACATAAAGAGGCTTTCTGGGGAGAGCAGGGCA